GTGGATTCACAGAGGCCACAAAGAAGAACCAAGAATGTTCCTCAATGGGGAGGCCACTGATCATGAAGAAGGGGCTAAGATTCCTCCTGAACGCTGACAGAAGCTGGTGTCTGGCTAGGCATCTCATCTACAGCAGGTCCGAACAGCAAAAGGGGGCTCTCCTAAGGAATAAAAATGCTTGCCATGAAGGGGCGAAATAATTTTGAGACTGCAGAAATCATTGCAAGTTGCATTTTCAGTGGAATTTGGAGGAACCACTTCAAACACTCGTTGTGCTGAGCTATTTCAATGGCTTTTGTTTGATTTGTTCATTGCAAACAATGGAAAGTCTGTACATTTTGACAAAACAGTGGTGCCTAGACTTATGAACTTCCTGACATACGACCACTTCGAGTTGCAATGAGCTCCAACCACAAAATTTTGCTTTGACTTGTGGTTGGTGCTTCAAGTTGCGACCGGAAAAAGGCAGGGAAAAAGGTGGGGAATTCAAATTGTTAACCATTGGTTGGCGAAGAGGCTGCTTCTTTGTAGGTCTTTCACCTCAATGATTAGAGTGAGTGTGTCGGAGAAGGCTTCTGACTGTCTGGAGCTGCTTTCTGCTCCTGAGTAAGTACATTTACTTTGTTTTGCAGGGTGGGTTTGGTTTGGAGGGGATTATGTTTCTGTGCTGTGATTTTTTTTAGGTTTTTGTGTTTCCCCCCCCAGCCCCATCGCATTCTGCGGGGGCTGGCTGTATTCTTTTTGTTTTGGTAAAAAATTTTCCGGCCCCAACACATTCTGATGGGGCTTGCATCAGAGGTTTTTTGTTTGTTTGGTTTTTGGTAATTTCTTTTTGGGGTCCTGAAACATTCCTATGGGGTTTGCAGTGGGTTTTTTTTGTGTTTTGGTGTGTTTGTTTTTCAGTCCCAACACGTCCCTATATGGCTTGCACTGTTTTATTTTAATTTTTATTTTTTTTCTTCTGGAACAGATTAATCACGCTCCAATGCATTCCTATGGGAAATAGTGCTTCGACTTATGACCATTTCGAGTTATGCCCATGTTCTGGAACGGATTATGGTTGTAAACTGAGGCACCATTGTACAGTGGTGCCTCACATTACGATGTCAATTCGTTCCAGCAAAATCGCTGTAGAATGAAAACGTCGTAATGAGAAAATAAAAAGCCCATTGAAATGCATTGTAACTCCTTCAATGCGTTCCAATCGGCTGTAAACTCACCATCCAGCAAAGATCCTCCATAGGGCAGCCATTTTCGGTGCCTGTACAGCAAGGAATCTGTCCCAGAAAACAGCGGGGAGCCATTTTGTTTACCCGGCGGCCATTTTGAAACCGCCGATCAGCTGTTCTAAAATCGTCGTTTTGCGAAGAATCGGTTCCCGAAGCAGGGAACCGATCATCGCAAAGAGAAAAAAACCCATTCAGACCAATAGCAATTGCGATTTCAGATCACAATTGCGATCGCAAAAGATCGTCATAATGCGTTTGGACGGAAGGAATTGTCAAAAGGGCTACACTGGGATAAAAAACAACAATCAAATTCAAATCACATGTTTTCGGCAGTGAGGATCCTATGGGGTGTGTGTGTGCTGATCCAGCTGGAGATGCTACTGAGAGCCTCTTGAGTCTCCCTCCTCCCTCAGTGAACAGGCCCCCCCTCCGAAATCCCTCTTGCTGCCCCCACCGAGAAGGCAGCCTCTCCTCCACCCCTCCTGCCACTCACCAGGCGCCTCCCAAGCCAAGACCAGAGGCTCCCCCAGGCTGGCATGGTCCACGTGGCACCGGTAC